TAACTATTTGATTTTGAGTGGTCTTTATGAATTTAGGAATTATGAATTTCTCTTTTTGGTGTTGAAATTCCTGAAATTGAAAGAATAACAAAAATGGTCAAAGGACTGAAAAAAGAACCAAAAGAAAGATTGATGAATGATGATGATTACTTTACCAGAAAATCAGAGTTTAAGAGAAAGAAAAACCATGATGTGTTTTTGGTTTTGAAGTAAAAAGTGTTTGGGGAATATATATACTCTTCTTGTTGTTAGCTTCGATGTTTCCCTTTTTTTCTTTAAAAGGCTTTCTGTTTTTTTTTTTTTTGATATTTATAATAATTATGTAAAGTTTGTGGTTATAAAGCAAAAATAATATGAAAAAAGCCAAATGGACTGACTTCAACAAGAATCGAACTCTGGCGCTTCCGACAAGTGAACATGCGCTGGAGCCAACTCCACTAGACACGCTCTTGTGCAAGTATTTTGCACGCTATACTATATATACAATTCCTATAATATTAATATATACAATATAAAGAATTTTTTTTTGGGGCCCTCAAGAATCGGAGGCCCTGTGCGGTGGCGCCACTTGCACCACCCCAGGGCCGCCCCTGGGCTCTAAATGGACTCTATCACCATGGGTGATCACATTTTAGAGACTCAATTGGGATGTTAGGACATCTACAATAGGGCTCTAAATGGGCTCTTCCACCATGAGTGCACACATTTCAGAGACTCAATTGGGATCTATGCCCATTTGAGCCTCCTAAAAATTCTCACAAGCCCAAGAGTGGGTTCCATAGGAAGAGAAATTCACATGTGGGTGCACCCATGTAAAATCAGGCATGGCCGATCAATTGATTTTGGAGGTCCTGTACAAAGGGAGATGTTGAGAACCTATACATACAAGTTAAAAAAAACTCGCAATCAATAAATTGAACCGAACACATCCTTAGTAGCATTAATTACACCTTAATACATAAATAGAACCAATTCCATCCTTTAATTGCATCAACTAAATTTATTTTCTCTACTGTGTTCCAAGGATTACATATAAACCAGTGTGATGCAGCAAGTATAATGATAGTGCGGGTGGGGGAATACCTTCCGGGAGGCTGTCATGCCCAAAGCTCCATTGATTAATGAGCTACCTAGACCCCCTGACCCAGGGGCGGAGTCACACTGGGACCAGTGTGGTCACGGGCCCCCACTCAATTGTTTTATATTTTAAAAGTAATATACTATTATGTATTTCTATATGTATATTATTTCAAATACTTTACGTCTTGATATGTACTGACATGTGTTGTGGAGGGCGTATTAAGGCACAATGAGTTGTTTCAAATTGCCCCTTTGCTCAGTTGGTAGTGGTGCACTCCAGGTGTACATATTACCTTATTTCCATTTTCAACATTTAAGTAAATGTCTTTGTCCTTTTACTTTTATTAATTTTTATATTACTCCATTTACTTAAGTTTACAATGTAAATAAGGAAGTATCCCCCATTTGAATTCAAATAAAAATACTAGAAAATCAAATTCCCACCAAAT